CCCATTGATGCCTGGAATGCCGGCAAGACAGATCCATTCACTCCCCTGGAAAGGAGGCTGAAGCCAGGGAGCCAAATGGCCTGGCTAGGCAAGTACCGCCCCTCACAGAGCCCAGCAGGGTAAGATCCACTGGCTTGAGATTCTGGCTGCCAGCACAGCAGTCTGAGTTCAACCTGGGACTCTGGAGCTTGGTATGGGGATGGGCGTCTGCCATTGCTGAGGCTTGAGTAGGCAGTTTTACCCGCATAGTGTAAAAAAAAAAAAAAAAAAAATGCTGCCTGGAAGATCGAACTGGGTGGAGCCCACCAGAGCTCAACAAGGCCACTATGGCCAGAATGCCTCTTTAGATTTCTTCTCTCTGGGCAAGGTATCTCTGTAAAAATAGGCAGCAGCTCCAGTCAGGGACTCATAGATAAAACCCCCATCTCCCTGGAACAGAGCACCTGGGGAAAGGGGCGGCTCTAGGCATAGTTTCAGCACACTTAAACGTCCCTGCCTGATGGTTCTGAAGAGAGCAGCAGATCTCCCAGCACAGTGCTCGAGCTCTACTAAGGGTCAGACTGCCTCCTCAAGTAAGTTCCTGACCCCTATGTCTCCTGATTGGGAGACATCTACCAGTAGGGGCCCACACCTCAAACAGGAGAGCTCTGGCTGGCATCTGGCAGGTGTCCCTCTGGGACGAAGCTTCCAGGGGAAGGAACAGGCAGCAATCTTTGCTGTTCTGCAGCCTCTGCTGGTGATACCCAAGCAAACAGGGTCTGGAGTGGACCTCCAGCAAACTCCAGCAGACCTTCAGCAGGGTGGCCTGACTGAGAGAAAGGAAACTAACAGAAAGGAATAGCATCAACATCAACAAAAAGGATGTCCACTCACAAACTCCATCCAAAGGCCACCGATATCAAAGACTAAAGACAGATAAAGCCACAAAGATGAAGAGAAACCAGCACAAAAAGTCTGAAAATTCCAAACACCAGAATGACTCTTCTCCTCCAAAGGATCACAGCTCCTTGTCAGCAAGGAGGCTGGGGGGGCTAGAAGAGGGTTCTCATTAGGAGAAATACCTATTGTAAATGATGGGTTGATAGGTGCAGCAAACCACCATGGCACGTATATAACTATGTAACACGTTCTGCACATGTACCCCAGAAACTTATATGTATTTTTTTAAAAATACAAAATTTAGCAGGGTCTGGTGGCAGGCGCCTGTAATACCAGATACTTAGGAGGCTGAGAAAGGAAAATCATCACTTGAACCTGGGAGGCAGAGGTTGTGGTAAGCCGAGATCATGCCATTGCACTCCAGCCTGGGCGACAAGAATGAAACTCCATCTCTAACAACAACAAACGGGTTGCCATGAATGGATCCAGTGCAATTCATCAAATGATGTAAAACCAACACCCCTCTCTCTCAAAACATACATACACACATAGACACACATATGTGTTATCTCTACAGATGCAGGCATGCTAAAGTTAAATATGTATAATTTCAAGTTTTAATCTATTACTCATTTAATACATTCATATTTTCAAAGAGCAAGTACATCTTTCAATAAAAGTATAGTGTGAAAGCTCTTTGTGGCATCAAGCAATAAAAATACTAAAATTGTTATTAGAAAACACACAGATTCAGAAAAATCAAGGTTGTGATTAAGTATTAAATGCTAAATCTAGTATTATTCTAATTGTCCGGGAATAAGATAGTGCTATGCTGGAAGCCACAAATAAAGTAACGGTTTTCTTTTTAGGGTTGTCTATATAAGGAAGGGTTGTATGGAACCATAAAATATATACTTAGCATAGACTCTTGTTTACAGTAGCCCCCTCCCATATGTGCAGAGTATATGGTCCAAAAAGTGGATGTCTGATACTGCCCATAGTATCAAAAACTATATCTACTAAGCTTTCTCCTATGTATACACAGCTATAAAAAGGTTTTTTTGGTGTTCGTTTGTTTTTTTTGAGACAGAAGCTGGAGTGCAATGGTGCAATATCTGTTCACTGCAATGTCCGCCTCCCAAGTTCAAGTGATTCTCCTGCCTCAGCCTCCTGAGTAGCTGGGATTATAGGTGTGTGCCACCATGCCCAGCTAATTTATGTATTTTTAGTAGAGATGGGGTTTCACCATGTTGGCCAGGATCGACTCAATCACTTGACCTGTGATCTGCCTGCCTTGGACTCCCAAAGTCCTGTGATTACAGGTGGGAACCACCGTGCCTGCCAGAAAAATGCAGTTTTAAAAGCACTTTTACAGTAAAGTTTTCTGTTTTACTTCCAACCCCTCCTTTTGTACTGCGTTCTAGAATGTTTTGGAGTGAGACTTGTGGGCAAACACTACATGATATTCTTCTTTGCATCATAGTGCCAAGTACACAGTTGGCATGCAATATATTTGGGTTAAACAAATGAAAGAAGAAACAGTCAATCAAGGGAGTTCAGTGAAAAAGATTTGTCACTAAATACTTCCTTAGGGTCATTGATTCTGGGTCAATTCTAGAGAACAGAATTTAGATCTCTGCCACTGCACAATAGCTCTATGAAGAGTCAGGTTCCCCACACACTGTAAATTAGCAATGGCATTGGGTCTCAGATATGTTTTGCTTAGACCATTTCTTTCACCTTTTCCAGTTAGTTGCCAACATTTAAAACAAAGGCATATCACATAAAATTCGGAATTTGAGATTGTCTCAAAATATCAAATCTGGCAATCCTATGCCCAAAGTAGCTCAAAGCAACTCAGAGTTACATCAAAATCCTGTTGCTCCCAACAGACAAGACTTATGTTTTCCAGTTCACCACTTCACTCCCCAATGTCTGGTGCTCAGTCTTCACCCATATACGTTCACTCTGAGGCCACTGCAGCCGTCTGATTTTGTAACTTCTGTCATTCACAAACCAGTTCTAACAATGAGACCAAGTCTCAGTTTTGATAATTACTAACAATGCAATCTTAAGCAAATAATTTACCCCAATGGAGTCTAATTTCGCCACTTATAAGTAAAAGTTATCCCCTACTACATCACAGTGTGGCTGTGAGAAGTAAATGAGATTGTATATGAAAGATTTTGTTAACTCAAAAGTCCATATATATATAAAGTAGAAGTATTTTTGTTATTAAAACTACAGTAAAAAAAATCATCTGTAAATTATAACATATTTCTAAACAAAATTGAAAGCCCTTAGATTAATTAGTAGGAAAAGAAAACATGATTGTTAACAGTGAGTTAGATGTACCATTAAAAACTGGTAAATATTCAAACACAAGCAGATAATATTTCATCAGACTTGGGGCTATTTTTGTCCAATTCACTTATGTCAAAATAATTTAATCAAATGTGATGTTATTTAAGAATAATGTCATGTTTCTTTATTAAAATGAAGAATACAAAGCAGAATATATAAATATTTTCATTACTATTCCCAGCTCATCTATAAAATAAATATTTGCTTTCAGCACAAAATAGTAATAATGACATTTAAAGACATTTAACTTTAAAATATAAAGAAATGCAACTCGGCTAAAAATAATTTTATAATACAGAATTATAGAATTAAAATTGAAATATCACTCTATTATCTAAAGGTTATTATAAAAGAAGTCTTAATTTTAAATGAATTTTTATACTCTTTATTGAGATTGTTTTTGTTTCAACCAAATTCTCCCTTGGATGACTAAACTAATATATATATATATAAATGATATATTTATAGATATAAAATATATGCGTGCATACACATGCACACATATATAGTCATACACTAGCTTTCAAAGTGTCACTTAGTTTTTTCATGTGTTCCTTCAGCCAAACTAGAAAGCAAAATAAAAGGGAAAGCTTCTATTTTCTATTGTATATCTATTTCTATTTTATACTATCCCATGACCTAATAAAGCAATGGTTCTCAAACCTGGTTTTATTTTATAAAACAGATTTCAAAGCCACACCAGAACTACAGAATCAGGCTTTTTGAATGGTCCTGCTCAAGATTTTTTTTTAAGTGCCCAGTTAATTCAAATTATAAATCTCTTTGGGAATCACTTTAGTGTTTTATTTGCTATATAGTCTCAGAGGAATGCTGATAAACTGATTTTTTAGGGCTGTTGAAGGGCCACAGTGTAACTTTCTCATTAAGAAATAAACATATTTAGGAATAGGAAAAGCTTCTAAGATTCCTTTCCACACTGACTAATATAACATGAAAGCTTGTATTATCTGTCATCCACTATCTAGGCCCTTGTGATTAGCAAAAGAATATAAGATATTCATTCCATACCTAAGGCCTTTATAAAAACAGCATGCCCCCAGAAAATATAATTATCTCCATTTGACCCATAAAATTTGATGGCAATATCATTATGAATCCATCCTAAACTGTAATTCTCTTTAATATATGCATGAATTACACATTCCAGTCACAGTACACATGGTTGAAACATGCTTAGTCAAGCGAATATTGGAAAATATAGCTATTTAACTTCTGAGAGCCTTGCTAGAAAAATATGTTTAAATCGACCCAAGATCTTTTCATATACATGTGAAAAAAAAAATCACAAAAAAAAAAAATTACCTTTAAATGTTGTAGAGCACATTAAAAAACTAACTTTCCAGAAGGAAAATATGGCCTCTTTGTAAGGGGAAATATTTCAAATTACATGGGCATAAGCCCTGAAGTTTCTTATCCTCCAACTCTATTTTTCACATAAACATTGAGTATGCTTTAATATACAACTCTGAACAAGTCATTCTTGTAACCAAAACAACAGCCTGAGCCAAAAATGCCTATTTCTCAAGCCTTTTATTTGTTAAAACAAAGCTGAAACTCCTCAGTCTAACATTAAAATTCAGGAAAATCTGACCTCCAGCCATGCAGGATTTCAATTGTTCAGTACAACAAATTCAAAATTACAAGACACCAAGAGACTGAGACGCGTTTCACTCTCTATTTATGCTTTCCTCAAAGTGGTATAAATAATGCCCGGATTTCTCCAGTACTTTTCCTACCTGCTACCTGAAGTTGGAGCTCTCCAGCTGTATGAAATCAGCCCCAGAGCAACAGCTGTTTTCTCTGCAATCAGGAAATGGTGCAGGGCTGCCCTTGCTTTGTAACCCAGCCTCTGTGAACCTGGCAAAGTAAGAAAGAAGGTGTTCTCATCTTTTCATTGCTTTGCTAATGGCAGAGAAAATATTCCCATCATGGCATCAACTTACAACTCTTACCATGCTCTTTTAAAAACGTAATTTTTAAACAGAATGTTTAAAGCAAGTGTAATTTTTAAACCAAGAAGTAATTTCGATATGGAATTTACAGATCATATTTGTTCTATAGTCTTTTTGTAGGTGTGCAATTTATCTTTGAGAAGAGGCACAAACATCTTGAAAAAAAACCTTGCTTAAAAACCACAGATAATACTCATAGCCTTTTAAATCCCATCTGCAACTCATATGAAAAAAAAATCATTATACAGAGGGTCTCAGACTCCACTTGGGGATTATTCCTGAGGTTTCTATGGTATCAGCTAACCTTTCCCAAAGTTTTTCAGGCTACAATTGACCCTTGAACAACCTGGGTTTAAACTGCAGGACTCCTGGGGTTAAACTGCATAAATTTAACCCACATGGTTTAAATCTCCGTGAATATGCAGATTTTCTTCCACCTCTGCCACCCTAGAGACAACAAGATCAGCCACTCATCTTCCTCTTCCTCCTTAACCTACTCAGCATGAAGACAATGAGCAGGTGATCCCCTTCCACTTAATGACTAGTAAAAGAATTTTCTTTACGATTTTCATAATGGTATTTTCTATTCTTTAGCTAACTTTTTTGTAAGAATATGGTATATAATACATGTTACATACAAATGAGGTATGAATTGACTGTTTATATGATTGTTAAGGCTTCTGGTCAACAGTAGGCTATCAGTAGTTACATGTTGTAGGAGTCAAAAGTTATAAGAAAGTTTTTGACTCTGTGGGGATCAGCCCACCATAGTTCTGTGTTGTGAAGGGTTAACTGTATTCCTCATAAGCTCCAGTCATTATGACCTACTATATGCTTTTTAAACAGATTTATATCTTCCTAAGTGCATACTTATGCTCACTTTACATTTTCTACATGGATACTCTTCACTGCTATGTCCAGCCAATGATAAGCCCTTTTTTTAAGGTCCTCCTCAGTCTCTTTCACTTCATGATAGTTTTCCTTGGTCCTTCCTACTAAAAGTGAACTCCCCCATCTTTGAATCCTCATTTTGTTCATGTCCCCACCTTGATCCACATAATCTTCCTTTCACCAAAGAAGTTTAAATGCAGATTGCATTCTTTTTGTCAGATTATACTCTCACTGAAAGCAGAAATCTTGCATCATTTATCTTTGTCCAACCCATACCAATATCTCATCAATAATTTTTAGTAAATGAATGAATGTTAGACAATTATTCACCTCCTAAAAGGCTAATCTTATTGAACCCAATTTTATCATGAGTAGATCTCTTTGGTATAAAATAGAATAAAATTATACAATAAACTGTCATAGTGACTTTAACACATTTTCATAAACTGACTTGAGAAGTCTCTACTACCTGTAACATAGTAAAAGAAATACAGGCTCGTTGCAACTGCTGCTCTGTCTTCCATGTATTCTTTATTATGCATTTTTCTTGCTTTAACTACTGTTACGTTTAGGGTCTATAATTATTAGGTCTGCTGTGATTTCACTGTTGTATCTAAAATATGATATTATAACAATTAGACACCAAAAACATGGAGTTAGCTTTTTATTTTGATGATGTATGCTCAAAATGGTATTTCCAAAAACAATGTACAAGCAAGGAACTAAACCACCATATGGAAAATTTCTAATACTCCAAAATCAATATATTGTTGTCATTATCTGTTCTTCCTTCTTCAAACCACTTCGGTAACTATGATTACCTTATTTCCCTATTTGCTTACTTGCTTACTGTCCCTTCAACAATATCCATCCAGCCACCCCACTGCCACTAGAATGTAAGCTCTATGAGAGCAGAGACTACTCCATGGGCTGAAAATAGTGTCTGGCATTATAAGAGTGACTGAATAAATCTTGAACGAGTGAATAGTGTCATTAGCCAACACTTTTCTTGCTTAAAATTATATTTTTGTGGCCAGATTTGGTAGCTCATGACTGTAATCCCAACACTTTGGGAGGCGGAGGTAGGAGGACTGCTTGAGCCCAGGAGTTCAAGACCAACCTGAGTAACACCATGAGACCCTGACTCTACAGAAAATGAAAGATTAGACTGCTGCAATGGCATGTGCCTATAGTCCCGGCTACTCAGGAAGCTGAGGTGGGAAGACCCTTTCAGCCCATGAGGTCAAGGCTGGAGTGAGTTGTGACTGCACCACTGTACTCAGACTGGGAAAGAGAGTGAGACCCATATTTAAAAACAAACAAACAAACAAACAAACAATTATAGTTGCATGGCACTGACATTACTTTTAGCATAAAGTCACACAATATAAATGTTTTCCCTTTAAACAAGCAAATGCAAACTGCAAGAGGTCTCGGACAATGGTTTTTAGTGGAGGGAAGAGAAAGAGGAAACACAAGGAGCTAGTAGTATACACAGTACAGGTGATCCTGATTTAGAGAGCCTAGATTGTGGGATGGATGCAGTGTGTCGCAACATGCAGGGTTTTTTTCTTTTTCTTTTGAGACTGAGTCTCGCTCTCTCACCCAGATCACCGAGGCTGGAGTGCACTGGCGCAATCCCAGCTTACCGCAAGCTGCGCCTCCCAGGTTCAAGCGATTCTTGTGCCTCAGCCTTCCAAGTAGCTTGGATTACAGGCACATGCCACCACGCCGGGCTAATTTTTGTATTTTTAGTAGAGACAGCATTTTACCACGTTGGCCAGGCTGGTCTTGGACCCCTGACCTCAAGTGATTCACCCATCTCGGCCTCCCAAAGTGCCTGGCCAGCAACATGCACCTCCTCAGGTGACTTTTTCATGGCAGAGTCAGAATCTCAAACCAGATTTCATGCTCTCAACAATTGGAGGCCCTCTCCTATACACTAAATCATGCCAGGCTTTTTGTCTGCCACTAGCAGCAAGCAATGCCAGCCTCAGCAATGACTTTTTTTACAGCCCAAGCCCATATGCAAAGTCCGGCACATGCAGACGCAAAGGCCTGGCCCTGGAATCAGAAAAGCTAAAGGCAAAAAGCACCCGGAGGCCCGGACACCCTGGCGCCCAGACACCCTGGCCAGACTGGCTCTAGCCAGGCCCTCCTGAGAGTTCCGGTCCTACATGGAGCCCTGGGGCAAGTATCTTACCTGCTTGGCATGGCCTGCTGGCCCACTTGTCAAAGCGAAGGCAGAAGAAGAGGGCAGAAGTCCATCCCATAAGGCTCCCCTGGGTGAAGGTGGACGCTCTCCCATTCTCCCCTCCCTCACAGTAATCAATCTTCTATAAAATTCATCTGGGGAGCTTGCCAAGTTAGAGGTATCATAAACAGCTGGAGATTAGCTCTTCGGACATGTTTACCAGGATTCCCTGGGATCGCACAGCCTTTAAGGGTTGGACACCCATTAAACCTTTCCTTTGAGGCAGAGATAAAGAGGAACCAATTCTCGGTTTTCTGACTGGCTTCCCCACAGTAAACATTTGCCTACATGAGAAGCAGTTAAGGGCAGGAGCTAAGAACATTCGTTTGGGAGCGGAGCTGCAGCTCAGGTGATTCTGATGAGACCCATAATTAGGAAACGCTGTGAGGGCTTTGACATTTATAAGCTAACTCAGAGTATATACCAAGCTTCCCTCCCCCTACCATGGATTTAAAGCATTACAAATAACAAGCTAACTTTGGGAGGAGGTTACCAGTTACAACAGCCCAGCCTGAGAGGTAATCGGAAGGAAGGTAAGCACAAATGCTTCATACCTCCTAAACACCAGTTGCCTAACATCAGTTCTAGAAGAAAAAAAAAAAAGATGCAAATTTTCCAGTTCTTTAAAAAACGTGATTAAGTATTTAACATAGATGGTGGTCAGTATCAAATTATTACAATATTTATATCCCATTGGATGAGGTTAATGACAATATTAAGATTTAGCAGAAATTACATTATTTTCAACAATAAAATATTAATACAAAGTTTAGATGTGATTTTTAAAATGCGCAGGAAGTTACAGGTTTTTTCAAAATTCTTTTTGGAGGCACATGAGGAAAAGCAGTTGTAGATCACTGGACCATATGCAATGTTCATTTTCTCCCTGCAGGCTGAGCCCAAGAATCAGGGTTTTAAAAAGCCTGGAGAAAGGCAAGCCCAGTGGTGTGTGCTAGTAAAGGTTTAACCACCACTTCTGGCGGGGAAAGGAAAGACAGTCAGGAAGCCCTAATTTGTAGCTTTTGCAGTGATGTAATTATTGCTGCCAAATCTGATTTCCAACTCCCAATGTGATGTCACGAAACAAAAAGGCGCTTTGCACAAAATTGAGCAAAGACTCACAGTGAGGTCCAGCCACTTGATGCCAAACAGCTCCCATACACCCCTGAGTCTTAGTTTGATTTTTCTTTTGACTTTATGATATGGGAAGTTCCATTACATTGAAAGAACTCAATAATACATAAACATATTATGCAGGTGAACAAAGTTTTTGTATAAAGCATTTAAGTTATTTAGAATTAATATATACTGTGATACCGCACAACCTTAATTGAGCCAACGAGAAAATAAATGACACAAATTCTTAGCTAGCCAAAGGAATTGTCAAAAATTCAAAAGCTGAGAAGGTCAAATGTGCTATCTGAAAGAAGAGCTAACTAGAAACAGGTACGTACAGGGTTCATTACCCAGAGGGAGACAAGAGAAGGCAAAAGGAGCAATCACAAGAATTAGAAAAGTCAGAGCAACCCGGGGCCATTAAAAGAAACGGCAAAGAGTTCTAGCTCTCCAAATAGTCTAGAAAGACATGCTTGTGTTAGAGCAGAGAGCAAAATAGATATTTGATAATTATACCAACCTCAAAAACTCTTAAAGAAGCAAAGCAGACAAAGGAGAAACACATGTTCTTTACACACTGTTTAGTGAAGCAATAAAATAGTGAAAAACATTTTTCTCAAGAATGAATACATTAAAGTGTCTCT